ACCAAGGCCCCGAGAGGGAAACAGGTTGGGGGTGCTTGCTCCAGGGAGAAGGCAGATGTGGCTGTCATGTCAGGCCAGAGGTTTGCTCAAGGTGATGTTGGAAAGGAGTACAGGGGCCAGTCATGCAAGGCATGGCAGGTTAGGGTGCAGTCAGGGATTCTTCTAAGTGAGATGTAAGCTCCAAAAAGAACTTCACTAAGGGGCCTCCCTGGTGGTGCAAGGGGTTAAGCATCAGCACTGTGAAGCTATCCACAACTACTGCAGCACGAATTTGGTCCCCAGCTAGGGAGCTACCCACATGGCGCAGCAGACCTCTTCTGTCTCACTCACTGCTCCCCTCAGCAGTGTATTTCAGTAGATCCACCTATGCTGCTCCCTACTCTGTCTCTGGTGAATCCTCTCACCCCCCGCACCTCTGGCCTATACCCCGACTAAAGACTGTAGAGAATTCACTGGAAGCAGAGGAGAAGGTGGGCAGGAGGCAGGGTGACCGGGTTGGTGGCTACTGCAGTGGCCCAGGCGATACATGAGGTGGCCTGGACTAGGGTGGCGGGAGAGGAGGTGGGTGGGAGCGGACAGGGTGAGGATTTGCTATTTGCTTTGCAGGTCAAGTAGACAGCACTTGCCGGCAGTTTGGATGTAGAGGCTAAGAGAAAAAGAAGACTCATGGATTTCTTCTCGATTTTTTTTTTTTATAGAGGCATTTTATTTATTTATTTATTTGTTTGTTTGTTTTGTTTATACATGCACTGGGTACAGTCAGAAGTGCGGGGAGGGTGAGAGAATTCACCAGAGCCAGAGCGGGGAGCAGAGCAGGCAGAAGGACCGAAGTACACTGCTGAGGGGAGCAGCGGGCGGCAGGAGAGGTCTGCGCGCCATGTGGGACCCTCCTCCGGTGGCCGGGGAGCAGCCGGGGATCGAACCGGCGCCACAGAGGCCGCGGGCAGCTTCGCAACCCAGCGCTCAACCGCTGCGCCACCGGGGAGGCCCTCTTCTCGATTTTTGACTCAAGCAGTTGAGGGGAAAGTTGGAGAGAACAGGTTTGAGGGCTCTGTGGGAGATGCCTTTTAAATATCCAAATTGAGATATCAGATAAGAGTTGTAATTAGAAGCTGGAGTTCTGGAGCGAGGTCTGGATTAGAAGTACAAATTTGCGAGTCATTAGCCTGGAGAGAGTTTGCAGAGAGCCAAGAGCCTGGGCTCGTGCATACGTGGTCCAGAGTCTGGCAGCATCCGCGTTATCTGGGCGCTTGTTAGAAATGCAGCCTCTCAGGCCCATCCCAGAACTGCTCCAATTCTGCTTTTAACAGGACCCGAACGTGATCGGGGTGCTCATCGTGGTTTGAGAGGTGCTATTCTAGGTACTGAGAGCATGGAAAAAAGGGGGACTGTGGCTGAGCCCCAGCGCTTTACCAGCATTGAAAGAGAGCCTGGAGGAGGGGGGAGGGGCTGGCGGAGACTGAGATAACCAGTGAGCAGGGGACCTGCCAGTCTGACAAGGTTCAAAGCCCTGTGAACTAGGGCCTTTGCTCCTGTTTCTTCTCAGCCTCCCCACTGCACAGGTAAGAAAGCCAGGGCCTGAGAGGTGAATACGCCCCATCATGACGCTTGCAGGTGGGCTTCAGAGCTGGCCTGTGCATGCAGGATCCGAGCTAGCAGCTCCCCCTGGAGCAGAGAAGGCTGTGTCAGAGCACCAGGAGCCGAGGCGCCCTCCTGAATACCCACTGAACTCATAGTACTGAGCCCCTGACCTGGATGTGTCCCATTTCTCTGAGACTCAGTTTCCCCATCTATGCAGTAAAGCCAACCTTTCCTGTTCCCCTGCTACCTAAGGTTGTCCACCCAGGACCCGTTACCCCAGCTGGAACCCTAAGCCTCATCCCTGCCTCCCCCTACTTCCCACAGCCTATCTGCTTCCTGGCCCCATTAATTCTGTTTCCTAAATAGTCCATCTCTGTCCACCTTCCCAGGCCTCTTCATTTTTGTCCTTTGCCAAAGCCTACCAGTTCCCTTATCTTTAGTTCCCCAGCAGCTTCCATTTATAATCAACTCCGACCCAGCATCTGCCTTGGAGAGGCTCTTCACTCGCACCAGACAGCCCAGGCTTGCTTGCCTCTGTCCTGCGTGGTCTGGCCTCCTGCTAGGCCCCTATATCAGCTCTTATAACTTATCCCCAAACTTAAAAGCCTGAATTTGCCATGTTCTGGCCTCCACTGGATTCCCCTCCTATGACACCTCGCTAAGTTCTCATCCTTGCAGAAAATTCAAATGACGTCTCCAGGAAGCCAATTAAGACAACGGAGCCAGGGTTTGCCACCCTCCTTTGAGACCCCCCCCAGGCACCTGCATGCCCCATCTCAGCACATCACACTGCTTTGGAGGTAACAGTTTTTCCCCCACCTATCTGTGAACTCGAGAGTATGACTATGGTTTGTTCATTTCTGTATCCTAAGAACAACACCAGGCCTGGCACATAACATCTTGGTCCTCAGCTAGTGTTGAGTGGGTGAGTGAGAGAAGGCAGCAACAGCGGACCTGCTCATGCTGGGGGGAGCACAGAAACTCCCTGCAGACTTGCTGGAGCCTGGAGGGACCTCCGGGAGGGGAAGGGAAGCTGGTGCTCTGAGGCACAGGGCAGTTAATGTCCTGCCCAGGCACCACAGGAAAGATTCAAGAACCAGGAAATGGCAACAGGCGTGGTGGGAGTCCATAGGTGGTTTCTAAACCCCAACACCTTCAGCACCCTGAGCTTTAGGCTCCCCACCTGCCAAATGGGGATCTTGTTTTATGCCCATTTCAGTCACTTGAGCACATGAACATGATTAGCAGGTGGAAAGCACTGCTTGTGCGATAAGCTCGCTATCATTTTCACAAGGTCAGGCAGCCCCCCAAGAATTCAATGGACTCCCAAAACTCAGTTCCTCGCTACCAGCATCTCAGCCAGGAACTTAACCCCTCTGGGTGCTGACTCCCTGAGCAAAACCCACTGATAGAAATAACCCATGGTAATAAATGGTCAATCTAGATGTCCCCAAATTCCAGTCACTCCTCCCTTTCATGTTCAAGTAACAACTATCCTTCCCCGAGACCCCGCCCAGTAGGGTGAGCCTTCCCATGAAGTCTTGGCTCCTTGGACCTCCCTGGTGGCACAGGGGTTAAGTCACAGCACTATGAAGCTATTGGCAGCCACTGCTGCAAGAGTTCGATCCCCAGCCAGGGAGCTACCCATATGGCACAGCAGACCTCTCCTTTTTCACCTGCTGCTCCCCTCAGCAGTGTATTTCAGTAGATCCGCCTGTTCTGCTCCCTACTCTGTCTCTGGTGAATCCTCTCACACACCCCCCACCTCTGACCTACACCCCAGCTCTTGTATGCAGAAATAAAAAATATTTTTAAAAAAGTCTTGGCTCCCATCTATGGCAGAACATGGCATATGTGCTGGATGCCAAGTGTTTTCCTTGCCTTATTTCAGTTGATCTCGTAGACATATGACTAATTTCATTTCACACATGAGCAAATTGAGGCTTGGAGGTTAAGTAATTCGCCCAAGCACACAGGTAAATGCAGAGCAGAGCTCAAAGTCTGAGTGATTCCGAAGCTCGCTCTCACCTGCTGTCCCAGCTCTCTGCCCCCGAGAACGCGTGTGTGGGCGACAGATGTGTCTGGTTCACTCTCCCCCCAGCCAGCCATGTGGTCCTCGAGGGATCTGTAACACTAGGGTTTGGTCATTACTGGTACTTGTTAAAAAGTTCTATTTCCCAGTTCCCAAACAATAGGGAACAGGCTGGGAATCTGGGTAGTTTGTTATGCTTGGACTCAGAAGGCAGGGAGTTCCCCAGCCCCTGAGCTGCACACGGAGAGGACTGAGGAGGCTTGTCAAGGTCTTAGAGGAATTCCTGTTCCCGGTTGGGGACTGTTTAAATGATCTCACATGTCCCCCTTGAGTCAGAGACTTGGGTTGTTGGCACAGGCACCAAAGTCCCTGAGCATTTCTGGCATTTTCCCCACTCAGGCATCGTGCTTTCCATGATTATCTCCAAGACAGGCGCCCTCAGAGACAAGACTGGCTTCCTACATATGTTAAATATCCAAACATTTGGCACTTTGGTTAACACATGGATTTAATTCTCTCACTCAACCCTATAATAAAAGGTCACCAAAGAACCTGCCAATTTGCAATTTGGCTATTATTGAATGGCCACAATTTATTGTGTTCCTGCTTCACACTAAGTATGATACATGTGTTTGAAGTGATGTGTGTTTGTGTGTGTGTGTGTAGTGACAGACAGAGACAGACAAACAGACATATACATCGTACCTAATACTCAAAGCAATCTCCTATTTCTTTTTTTTCCTCCTATTTCTTTTTTTTTTCTTTTAAAGATTTATTTTATTTATTTATGCATACAAGAGCTGGGATGTAGGCCAGAGGTGTGGGGGTATGTGTGTGAGAAAGGATTTACCAGAGACAGAGTGGGGAGCAGAACAGGTGGATCTACTGAAATACACCGCTGAGGGGAGCAGCAGGCGAGACAGGAGAGGTCTGCTGCGCCATGTGGGTAGCTCCCTGGCTGGAGATCAAACGTGCTGCAGGGGTTGTGGATTGTTTCATAGTGCTGAGACTTAACCCCTTGCACCACCAGGGAGGCCCCCATATTAAATTTTCATCTGTATTAGGGAGGGTGGGAAAAAATATTAAAATAAAAAACTTAAATGTCTATTTACGACCAGGAAACCGAGGCTGATAGAGGAAACTTACCCACAGTCCCCCAGCAAGGAGGTGGCTGAGTCAGAATGTGAACCCAGGTCTCATACTGTGCCACACTGCCACTTGGGCTAAACTTCACCCCACGGTGACTCATCACATCTCACAGTCAGGGGCTCGTAGGCCAAACTTCCACCCACGACGGGACTCTCCCACCGATCCAGTTTCAGCTCAAATACCACCAGCACTGGAGAATCCACCACATCACAAGACTGTCCCTTACACAGCTGGAAAGTTCCTCCACTTTGAATTGAGGTCTTCTGAGTAGCTTCCATTTCTTGGGGGGTTCCCACCAACTCCTCGGGACTGGAAGGAGAAATGACTCAATAGTAGGAGGCAGGAAATCTAAATGAGCACCAACCCCCAGGGAGGGGCTCTGCATGGCAGGCTCAGGTGTGGGATTAAAGAGCCTGAACAGGAGGCCTCATGGGCTATCACCCCCCTCCCCCAAAACCTGCTCCTGTCCAGCTCCTCTGAGCACGTAATGGGCGCTGGCCATGGGGTCAGACAGATCTGTCACCATAGCCCAGCCCCAATGCTGGCCTGCTGTTTGACCTTGGGCGAGTCACTTCATTGCTCTGAGGTTTCCTCCACTGTCAAACAGGGCTACTGCAAGACTAAAGGAAAAGTTGTGTGAAGTATCCGCAGAGCTGCCCGGTGAAAAGCAAGCCGCGGCCAAGACATAGGAAGCAGCCTAGAGCTGTGTGGTCGATGCAGACTCTGGGTTAGACTGGCCTGGTTTTGTTGTTTAGTATTTTCTTTGGAGTATAAGCAGTACTAGGTTAGAATCCAACTTTGACTAATTGCCTGTATGACCTTGGGCAAGTCATTTCACCTATCTAATTTCCCTCTCTTTAAAGCGGGAGTTAATGTAGTGTCTACTCTTTGGTGTAGGTGCAGTAAGGAATTGCATCAGAAGCACATTGCACAAGCCTGACACGATAAGGTCTTAACAGCATATCTTGTGAGTTACTCAGTTTTTCTAGATCTCTCCCACATATACAAAAGATATGCATGGAATAATTAAACTTTCTTTTGTATTTTTCTCTTTCCCCAAAAAAGTGCTTAACATGTGCTGGCTGTTACCCACTTCTTTGCAGAGCAACCTCCAAATTTTCAGTTCTCTCTCTCTCATCCTTCTCTAGCTCTCTCCCTGTTTTAATCAGAGGGCACGGCGGCCAGACCCTGGAGAGAGGCCTACTCGTCTGAGCATCTTTGCCCCACGGGGAGAAAAGGAAACCCTCTCATAGGCTCCTTCTTTCTCATTCCTCCTACCCCAGAACCTCTCTGAGTTGTAACTCATGTTTGTGACTCAATCTGAAACTTCTTTTTATAAGTAATTTCCTCTGTTTCTCGTCCTTTCTTCCGCTCCACACCCACCCCCCAGGCTGTGGGCAGAATTGAGAAATCAAGGGGCAGATGACACATGTTTGAGCTGAGCATGTGACCTGTACCTGGGATGGGCCTGGAGTCACTCACCCATGGCAGGATCTTACCAGGGCTGAATGTGGGCCAAGCCGCTCCTGCTATCCCTGCAGAGCTTTCGTTACCAGGCTCTTTGCATGGGTTTCCGAGAGTGTCTGAAGGGGATGAATGTGGAGAGCTGGAATCAGAAGGCATGAAATCGACACCAGAAAGCCAGCCATGACTAACGGTGTGGTCTTGGATAAATCACTTGGTCTCTCTGAACCTCATTTCCATCATCTGCACACCATGCTCAGAGGGTTGTGGAGGGGGTGAAAGAAATAATGGGATTCAGGGTTCTGGCAGAGATTAGGTGTAAAGCAAGTAGCAGTTGGGTTGCAAGGACAGAAACTTCAGAACTGAGCACGATCTTCCAGAACCAGGAGATGTGAATGAAGTCAGGCTCCATGGCTTCCCAGGAACATGGAAATTAAAGGTAAAATTGAGTATATGTGTGTATTTTTCTGGGAGGAAAGGGTATAGGATTTTCATCAGATTCTCAAAGGAGGTGGTGATCCCCCAAAATATTCAAAATCTTTTCTCCTGGGGGAGCGGATAACTAACAAGTATGAAGAACAACCTGTCTGTCCTAGATTTGTGTTCTGTTCATCCAGCAGACGTCATCTTCCAGGCAATGAAGATAGGGAGATGGAATCTTCTTGCCCTTCTGAGCACTGAGCTTTTGAGAGGGTACATGATTTAGCCAAGGTCGCACACTTCTGAAGGAAGCTGACTGCTGGGAACAGAGTCCTACATCTTTGTCTTTGGTTACAGAGCTGACCACCTTGCGTCTCCATAGAGGGACCCGCCCTGGTCTGTGGTTCACTCAAGTTCCCTCTGTTGGCCAAGGCCAGCATTGCTCAAGAAAGGCCCTGGAGTCACAATGAAGGAGCAGATTTGAGTGAGGGGTACCCCTCCTGGCCACGCTGATGTACTGCCTGCCAGTGGCAGGTTATCTGCTGTGACCAGCCCTGTTCTGGATGGACTCGGGGAGGGGTCTCCCTTTCTAAACCCTAGCACAGGCTGGCAGACCGTGAGGGAATTCGCATTCACATTTCCATCAACTACACTGAGATGTCGCTTACATACAATAAAATGTGTAGATTTCACATGTGCAGTTGGATGAGTTTCAACAAATGTGTTCACCTGCGATGCCCATGCCACTCTCTGACAGATTTTATCTCTCAGAGGTTTCCCTTGAGCTCTTTCTCCATCCCCAAAACATGAAAGGCAGTCACTATTCTGCTTTCTGTTAGCATAAATTTGTGTTGCCTTTTCTAGAACTTGTATGAATGGAACTACACTGTATATATGATTTATGTCAGATTTCCTTTATTCAACATAATGTCTGGGAAGATTTATCCAGTTTTGCACATATCAGTAGTTTATTCCCTTTTGTTCCTGAGTAAGTAATATTCCATTCCACCATTTGTTTAATACATTCATCTGTGGCTGGGCATTTCCCCCCTAGTTTGTTTGTTTTTTCCAAAGATTTATTTATTTATTTATTTATACAAGAACCGGGGTACAGGCCAGATGTCGGGAGGGTGAGAGGATTCACCAGAGACAGAGCAGGGAACAGAACAGGCAGACTGACTGAAGGCACTGCTGAGGGGAGCAGCGGGAGAGACAGGAGAGGTCTGCCGTGCCATGTGGGACCTGCCGGAATCCAACCGGCGCTGCAGAGGCTGCGGACATCTTCATAGCGTGGTGCTCAACCACCTGCACCACTAGGGGAGGGCTTTCCCCCTAGTTTTCAACTAATGTGAATGTTCATGTAGGAGTTTGGTGTGGACATGTGGTTTTATTTCTCTTGGGTTAATATCATGAGTGGCACTGCTGTATCACAGAATGTATGTTTAACTATTTAAAGAATTACTGAACTTGGGCATCCCTGGTGGTACAGGGGTTAAAGATACAGCACTATCAAGCTATCACCAGCCACTGTGGCATGGGTTTGATCCCCAGCCGGGGAGCTGATCTACATGGCACAGCAGACCTCTCCTGTCTCGCCCGCTGCTCCCCTCAGCAGTGTATTTCAGTAGATCTGCCTGTTCTGCTCCCCACTCTGTTTCTGGTGGATCTTCTCACCCTCCGCATCTCTGGTCTATATCCCAGGTCTTGTGTGCATAAATAAATAAATCTTTTTTTAAAAAAAAAAAGAATTACCAAACTCTTTTCCAGAGTATATCTTATACTCTGACTAGCAACACATGAAAGTTCTAGCTGCTTCACAGCCTTGCCAATCTTTGGTATTAATCCTTCTAACTTTAGTCATTCTAGTGGGTAAAAAGTGGTTTTCCTTTGTGGTTTTAATTTGCATTTCTCTAATGATGCTGAGTATCTTTTCATGCGCTCATTGGCTGTTCCTACACATTCTTTTGTCTATTCAAATCTTTTTGTCCCATTTTTAAAATTAGGTTAATTATCTTACAGATGATAAAGGATTCTTTGTCTATTCTGGATGCAAAACCTCTGTCAAATATATTGTGAATATTTTCTCCCACTCTGTGACTTACCATCTCATTTGAAGAGAAGTTTCTGATATTGACATAGTCTCATGTATTTCTCAAAATTTAATTTTTGTTTCCTTTTTCTCCCCACCACCCAATCTAACAAGTGCTTTACCTCTCTAATAGTTATAAAATTTTCCTTCTGAGGGAAATCCATAATTTTAATGAAAATTATACTAACAACTACTGAGCCTTAGCACAAGCACTGTGCTAAATTAACTTAATCAGGACCTCGCTGGTAGCACAAGGGGTTAAGATGCAACCTATGAAGTTATCAGCAGCCACTGCAGGACAAGTCCAATCCCCGGCCAAGGAGCTACCCACATGGAGCAGCAGACCTCTCCTGACTCGCCTGCTGCTCCCCTCAGCAGTGTATTTCAGTCAGTCTGCCTGTTCTGTTCCACACTCTGTCGCTGGTGAATCCTCTTACCAAACCCGCCTTCCCCCCCATACCTCTGGCCTATACATACCCCAGTTCTGGTATGCATAATTAAATAAATCTTTAAAAAAACAAATTAATTAACTTAATCAGAGTGACTGCACAGAGGAAAATCATCATATCCACTTAGAAGGTGAAGAAACCAAAACAGTAAGAGGTTAAATAACCTGCTCAAGGGCACACAGCTGGTAAGGGACAGTGTTAGGATTAAATTCAGGAATTCCCCACTTTTCGCATCTCTGTTTTGCTGCCTCTGTAATTTTAAGACCAGATGATAGTCTAGGAATTTTAAAGCCCTACAAAATTTTTCTTGGGATTGCACTGTATTTGTAGGTTAATTTGAGAAGAAACACCTTACTATTGAGTCTTCCGGCTCACAAATTCAGCCTGTTTTCATCTACATGGGTTTCCTTCCATTTCTCTCAGCTACGTTTTGCTTAGACTGCCGTGTTCGGTCCCTGCATCTCCTTTGGGGAATTTACCGGTAAGTATTTGAAACTTTGAAATAACTTTGTCAATGACATGGTTTCTTAAATTCCAATTTTCAATCGTGTTGCTAATTGATAGTTTTACCTATTTCTTTCTCATCTGAATGTCCTTTGTTTACTTTCGTTGCTTACTGCATTTACTAGAATCTTTGGTACACTATTAAATTAAAAAAACAAACACCTTGCTTTGTTCTCAGTCTTAGGGGAAAAGCATTCAGTCTTTCACCACTAAGTATGATATTATCTGTGGGTTTTTCCAAAAGTCCTTTATCAAACTGAAGTTCCTTCTCTTCCCAGTTTGCTGAGAGTTTTCATCATGAATGGATGTTGGATTTTGTCAAATTTTTTGGTGATTATTGAGGTGGTGTTTTGTTTTTTAGTCTGTTAATGTGGTGAATTACATTGGTTAACTTCAGATGTTAAACCAACACTGCATATGCCTCGGTTGTACAGTTAGTATCTTCTCTCTTTTTTTCCTGATTTGTGTGGCTAGAGGTTTATCAATTCTATTAATATTCTCAAAGAAGTAGCTTTGGCTTGCTCTATTTTTTGTATTTTCTATTGTCTATTTCATTGATTTCTGCTCTTAAAACCTGCAAGGTTTATCTTAGCCCCTCCATTCCAAGCTGATTAAAATGCCAACTCTGCCAGGCCTCATTCTCTTAAGTTGTTAGAAGGGACTCAACTTTCTGGAGAGCAATGTGGCAATAACAAAATCTTTAAAATGTGTGTAAAATGCACTTACTCTTTGCTTCTTAAAGACCACTTTGAGGAGCTTATACAGCGGCACGCTGGAAAATGTTTAACAACTGGCAGGGGCAGGAAGAGGAAGTGCTGATTCGTAGCCTTTGCTGATTCTGCCATGTAAATGTTCCCACGACAGCCAATTTCAATTCAACATGAATGTGTAGTTGGGAAGAGACAGCACAATTGGTTCTCTTGAGCCAGTACATATAGGTTCCAGTAGACCCCGAATTTATGTTAAGGAGAGAATTAGGAATGATTATAAAAAATTATGTGCTGGTGTATGCCACAGTGTTATTTTACTGATGAGAAATCGGCCAAACTTAATTAAATACCAATGAAGTGACAGGTTCATTATGGTAATAATGTGATATATTATGAAGATGAATAAAATCTTGTTATGGAAAATTATTAATGCTATCATATATCAAAAAAAGCAAGTATATGTGTAGTATGAGGTCAATTTATTTTTCACGTGCTGTATGTATAGAAAAAAATGACAGACAACAAAATACTAACAATGATTTCTTCTTTGTGCCTTTTTTTATTCTTGAAAAATGTTCTAAAATGAAGCTGTGGATTTATTTTTTTAATTTTTTTTTAAAGTTATTTTTTAAATTCCTCATTTCTTTTTTTTTTTTTATTTTACAGAGGCATGTTTATTTATTTATTTGTTTGTTTGTTTTGTTTATACATGCACTGGGTACAGTCAGAAGCGCGGGAGGGTGAGAGAATTCACCAGAGCCAGAGCGGGGAGCAGAGCAGGCAGAAGGACCGAAGTACACTGCTGAGGGGAGCAGCGGGCAGCAGGAGAGGTCTGCTCACCATGTGGGACCCTCCTCTGGTGGCCGGGGAGCAGCCGGGGATCGAACAGGGGCCGCAGAGGCCGCGGGCAGGTTCGCAACCCAGCGCTCAACCGCTGCGCCACCGGGGAGGCCCGAAGCTGTGGATTTAGAGGAATAAAAAAGCCACAAACTCATACATTAAAAAAGTATGTGCACGTATGTGTTTTCACATTTCTTGCCCCAAGTGTGTGTCCTAAGAATTGAAGAAAAGGGGCGATTCTGATGAGGGACAGGTGATTGTTTTGACTGCCTCAGAAGCAACATATTTTAGAAAGATGAAATGTATGTATTACACCATACATTGCAGTGATGTTGGCATCTGCTTGTCAGTCAACAAACATTTCCTGGGCTCCCACCCAGCATCTAATGTTTTGGAGGGAAGAATTCTAACTTTGGTTTCATGTTTGTTAAAAAGCAATCTCTGTTCTTCTTCCCATTTACCACACCCTGGGCACTTTACTAAGGGTTTTAAATGCTTTAACTCATTTAATGAGGTACTTCTCTTAACTATGAGACAGAGAGAAATGAAGGAGTGTGGTGGGAGAAAAGCTGTCTCACAGAGAAATCAGCAGAACATGGAAGGTGAATGGTGGTGTTTTTTGCAAGCTGTGTGACCTTG